TCATCATCTTAGGGTATCTCCGCGGGGCTTTTTCGTCTTTCTTCTGCACATTTTCTCGAGACAGACGCAAGGACGAAATTCTTCAAAGTCATGGGTCTTTTATTTTTCTTCTTTCCTAGAATAGGACTTTTATCTACTTTATCGTTAACCAAATTGCTCTTTGCTGGAGTCTGTGAGCTGCTTCTGTTAATTGTACCTTCTGAATCAGAACTTGTGATTCCATCAGCAGTTTCTGCATCTCTGTTGAAGGACTTAAGGCTTCTATGCCCATTGCTTGGAGCACATAAACTCCCCAGGAACCCATTCTTCATCCTGCGGCATCTTCTTTTCTTTCTACGAGCCAAACTGCTTGTAGCATTTCCTTGGAAATTGACCTGACCTTGGGAAGCAGGTATTGATCTATGCCTATTGATGCATCAGAATGGTATGATGGAGAATCTTCGGTACTCGTGAGATCAGTTTTTTTCATCTTTGCTTTTACCCAACAATTCAGTCAGTAGACGCACCTTACGGTTTTTTTCGATTAAGCTCAGACACAGCTCCAGCAATACCTCATCACTTTCAGATGACGCATATCACAATCATCTAATTCCAATGAAGGATGTTCATATCTATGAGTCTCGATAGCATTCGGAACCGTACTCGCTATCCCAGGGGATTCAAACCTTTCACCAACTCCATCTGTTGATCACATGCATATTTTCCTGTTTGATGTGTTTCAGTGGCATCCTTAACTATGCACTCCACACTTGGCTCAGGAAGCTTGGCACCAGCAATTTCATTATCTTCTAAATCGGGATTATGAAGTTGCAGAGAGGCCACTGTTGCAGAAATCAGAAGCAGTGTTATTGCAGCAATGAAGTTCCACTTTCAGTTGCAAAGCAGGAAAATACTTAAGCTTATTTAGATGTCCCTTTACTCACGGTAGACATACCTTTTTCATCTAAACGAAGCATTTTCCGCATAAGGCTAGAAATAACTTCTATTTCAGCATAATTTTGAAATATGGATTCCTTGTTTATTGTATTCTCTAAGATATCAGTTTTCCCAGGAAAAAAATAACCAAACAATTAATGTTATAATTTAGTGGTAAGTACCATGTAAGGATTAAGCTAATGGAGATATTACCTATGACTGGTATATTAACATTCACACAAGCAATATCACTGGATTTTTCTTGAGTCACATTAATCTTTCCAGCCTGCTGAAAATTCGATGAACACTCCAAGCATCCCCATGGGATGGAACATGGGAACACGAGCCAAAGGATTTCAATTTGCTACTATTATTAGTAACAGTTCTTTCTTCATTTATACTGCCTTTGTCCCCAGTTTCCGGAAAACAGTTCTGGCAACACCACCATCTGAACTTCGGAACAAGTAAGGAGGAAGCTTACAGCTTTTCTCTTTAATATATTCCGGCCACCATCCAATGCAAATGGCCAGATTTTCGTCCAGTCTTTCTTGCGCATCTCACACATATCCCTGCATTTAAATCAAAGGGATTTTATGAGGAAGACTTCCAACATGACCATCAATGATATCAAAGAACTATATATCTGCAGCAGCCAGTTATGGATATCAAATCTTGTAATAAGTTATCCTTGATTTATAAAGAGAATTTACAAGCAAAGACTTCCACATGGAAGTTAACGCACCACATATAGCAACTAGCAATGAGGAAGTGTGCTCAAGAAATATATATCTGCAAAAAGCCATTTATACATATTTGTTTGAAATTGGCCTCAATAGTCCATTCCATCTCCTACAATATGTTAACAAATAATAAAATACCTCCACTAATGCACTAATTTATAACTAGAATGTCCGAACATTTTATCCGTTCCCAAAAGCGTGGAAAAAGTCACCAAGCGCACACTCAGACAAGCAAGCTATGAAGTTACTGAGCACAAACATGTAGTAAATAGAGTTGAGGAACTGCAACATATACAAGAGCACTGAATGCTAAGGATCATGCTTACCGGATAGAAAATGTTCACACTTCCTAGTATCAATGTCTCAGCATTGACGAGATCTCTGGATATTGAGTCGTTTTTCTATGGGTGATTCGACAGACTTGACGACAAGATTAGAACTGCAACTGTGAGCTTCCTCGACCACAGTAGTTTCTCCATTTTGTGTGACTAACTAATTGATAACACCAACATGCAACAAAATTAGATATGTCATGAGCATTTAATACAATATTCATAGCAATGTAATCAATATGCATGAATCCTAAGATATTAAGTATGCCACAAGAACCGAAGCACACACTTCATAATTCATTGGAAATTCAAGATGAAATAACATTCGAACAGTAAAATGGATACACTAAAAGGATAAGAAGCTGGAAAGCCCCTATATATGGTGATTTATTACATAAAATAATAACTTACAGCAGATGAGTGAATACTATTCAAAGGGAACAAAATTGGAAACCCTAATTCCCAATGAAATCAAACATAAACATGTGCAGTTACTAGTTAATGTGTTAATAACATCCTGATAAAATAAAACCAAAGCTCACCATCTATAACACAAGTAAATCATCAATTAACACCGATAAAGGTAAACACATGCTAGGGTTTTATCAGATAACATGAACTAAAGTCTTAATCCCTCTACATCAAAGCAAAAAAAAATCAACTTTAGAACTCACCTCGAAGCCTTCGAGTTTGATATTCAAAACTCACATGATCCATAAAATGAAAAAATTTATCTAGGGTTTCAAAACTATCGAATTCACGAGCTAGTGAACAGTGAACATAATTTCTAGCACCAGAGAACCGATGGAAGAAAACACATAAAATATCCCATAAAAGTGGAATATGAAGTCATAAAGCGAAACCAAAATGCCAAAATGGAAATAAAGGCTATACTTAACGTACTACAAACACAGTAAACTAGACCCAGATAATTGAACAAAAAAGATCTAGCTCAGCTTAACCTCATATTAATCGAAAGAAACGAAAGATCAAAAACAAAAGAAACCCAGACTCGGAATTGTGATTAGATCGGAGAAGAAGATACCTTTTTTTTTTTGAATTAGGTACCTGCTAAGGAAATCCAAAACCAACCCAGATTCGATTCTTCACGGCCAATCGAGAGAACGGTATCAAAAGAAAGAGCATTGATCGATCAAGAAGAGGATCGAATCTTTCCGAAGAGATCTGCAGTTTGTGTAAATTTGAGTGCGAAGTTTGAGAACCCTAAGCTTAACAAAGGAGAGGTTTGTCGATTCTTTTAGAGAGAGAAGAGAGAGAGGAGTGTAGACAAGAAAGAGTTCATCTTTTTGCCTTGAAAGTAGGGTCATTGTTGTTGTATTAAAATCATCTGTAAAATATCTATTGGTAAAATACATCATAGACCCCTAAACTATAATCATAAATTAGCCATTGAACTTTTAGAAACTACAAATAATATTAAGTTGTTAAAAATAATCATCTTGATGTTTATATTATCATAAAGTGATGAAGATCACTTGTACTAATTTGACAAAATCTAATGTTCATTTCATAATAGTTCAATAAAACGAATGATCATTTTATAACAGTTTGGTAAAAAATAACAATAATTTTCTGATATTGTGATTTGTATTAATTTAATAAATTTAGTGACTTTTATGTAATATTTTAAAGTTTAATGACTAAAAGATTATTTGAGTATAGTTTAGGGACCTATGGGTGTACCCAATATATGCAAATATTAATGTTAATTTTTTATATTTATTTTAGAGAGCAAACAAATGCTGGGAAAAAGGACCAATGGATTTAATCCACGTGGAAATGAGGTTCGGTTCTTATCGCATTTCCATTATGGTGTTGCCCTAGATTGGAATAGTTAAAAAGCGCACTTTCTCAGCGCGTTTTCTCCACGCTCCTCTCCTCAGCATTAATTTCCTTTTGAGTAAATTACGTATTTAATACATAAATTATCAATTTTGATCCGTTATAGTATTTAAACTTTTAATTTTATCAAATTATACTTAAAGTTAAATTTTTTTTCATTATAATACATCTGTTTAAAATTTAACGTTAATTTTGAAAAAATTAAAATATAAGTACTAATGGAAAAAAAATAGGTACTAACTTATTAAAGTTTTAACGTGAGATACTAAATAAATGAAAAATAAACATTATGTATTTTGAAAAAGTTAAAAATTTAAGCACTAAAATAGATCAAAACTGATAATTGAGATACTAAATACATAATTTTTTCCTTTCCTTTTTTTAATATTCACTGTCGTTCTGCGGTCTCACAGATGCCTTAGCACGTAAACAACGTTCGATTGGAGCGTGCGATGGAGTCTCCATCACAGAGCGTGGTTAGTTTGAGAAAAAACCCTAAGGTTTAATAAATTGGGGTAAGTGTTGTTAACCCTAAGATTAGGGTAAATAGGAGAGAAGGTTCATCCACTATCGGGTAGGTTCGGGCTTAAAGCAGTAAATACAAAAACTCATGTACTAACGGTGAAAAAACTTTCGCCAGTAAAACTTAATGTTTTTACGCGTCTTATTTTAACCACTGCAACTGCTATACTCGAATATGTCTAAAAATAATAATAATTTTTTTAACCACTGAGATAAGTTAGTTCGTTATTACGTATCTTATTTAAATATAATACATGACAACATTAAAATCTCGTCTGCGAAAAGAAAATCTACCACTAATATGTAAGATAATTACCACATAGAATAAGTCAATATAAGCGCTTTTGTTAATTGTGACGTGTTGGGTGTGAAAATAAATAAATAAAAGTTGAAGTCTTTAAATAAATAAATAAAAGTTGAAGCCTTTACTTGTAGAATAAGTATATTAAATCCCATTTGTTGTTTCCAAAATTAAATAATATTGAGTCGATTTGGAAAGGAAGTGTGTCCAAATATACACTTTCCCCATATATCCAATGTTAGTTGCTTGTCACTTTCATTTTACGATAAACGTTTAATCACCTCGGTTGTAGTGCTCGAATTCGAGATTTTTATAAATAACGATAATTTCTTTAACTACTAAAGTAATTTGATTCGTACGAGTCTAAACAAACGAGGACACATGTGATGACACTGTTACATGCAATATATGACTTGGATGGACAAAATCTTATCGATCATATGCTTCTCTCTGCTTATAATTTATAAGTACATATAAATATGAATAGTTTTTTAACATATATTATTATGTATTTACGTCTCGATCATTTAAAAAAAAAATTCTTTCTTAAAGTTATTCAATTTAAATAATTTTGTGTTTCGGATACATTTTAGAGATGAATATTTCGTCGGGTCAAATCGGATCACAAAATTTCAAGTTAGTCAAGTTGACAAATCATATTTTATAACTCAAGTTGTTCGACTTTCTGTTTAAATTTAATTGTAAATATTTATAATGTTACGGTACTAATTGATTTCAGGTTAAATAGCTTTCTAAAGTCATATATGATATACACATATATTATTCTATATCTTTTCGTATGTGATATGTATATATCATGTAGAATCGAGAGATTCGGCTCGAACTTGAAAACCAATATATTAATTACTAAAAAAAATTAAGTTATTCAAATCATATTTTTATAACTCAAATTTGATTTAAAAAATTTTTGAGTCGACTTTATGAAATTATATAGGGATGGGCATGAGATCTAAACCCGACGGATGGAGAGTATATATTGTGCGGGTCGGGTCAGATTTCGGATGGAGGAGTCATTATTTTCAGGTCGGGTCGGATGAACCAAAAATCTTATTCAACCCGACTCATGCTCATCCATAAAATTATCGTTCAAGCCCGGAAAGGGATACATCAGGGGAAAAAAATCATCCCCTCCTTTTCTCCCATTACAGCCATACACACACAAGACCCAATTATGTATCAAATTAGACAGTGAAACTCAAAATAAATGTTCTTTTAATGAGCTAATCTGCTAATTAGACAGTGAAACTCAAAATAAATGTTCTTTTAATGAGCTAATCTGCCCCAGTAACAAGCGGCTGTAAACGAGTCGAGCGGACTTTGATTATTGTTGAGTTCGAGTCGACTCGGTAAAAAATTTACGAGCTTAAAATTTTTAAATTTAACTTAAATTCGAAATTATGAATTAAAGCTTGAAAATGCTAGAAATAAAAAATCTATTAAATTCAACTCGGTTGAAGCTCAAACACGAACATAAATCTTAAGTACATGAAAATATTATATTATATTTAAAAAAAATCAACACATAAATGTTAATATTAATGATAATTTAATTTTTAAAATTAAAATTTTAATATATTATTTTTCGAGCTACTAGCTAATTTTTCAAGTCGAGTATTAAGTAGCTTGTTTCGGTTTGTTAAGAACTCAATTTAAGTCCATTTGAATCGAGTATTTATAAGTTTGAATAACTCACGCTTTATCTCGTCTCATTTATAATCCTAAATATTTTTAAATTTTCTACATCATTATCTATTATATCAACAATCACCATAACACGATATAATCAAATATATATTTTAGGCCGGAGAGTGTTGTTTGTAGCTTTATGTCAATTCCGGTGACTTTCTTCTTCTTCTTTTTCTTTTTGCATGCATGCGTCCGTATTTTTGCTTTAGTGAATATAGTAATTTATAGTAGGCATAATGACAAAATTACCCTCCAACATTTATATAAATAATTATTTGTCTCTTATATTTTTTAGTATTTTAGTCCCTCAAGGGTTTTATTTTGAAACAAAATATTTCCTGAATGAATGGAAATCGTTAGTTGATTAACGATCAATGTTTCCTATTAACGTGACAGGTTCACATGTGATGCCACATCATCATAAAATGTTTTGAACTATTTTTAAATGTAATTTTATAAATATATGTGTGATTAATTATAATTATAATTTACTCTAAAAATATTTTTTTTTGTTGAAGTGGCATCGTATATGGACTTGTCACGTTCGTATGAAACATTGACAATTAATCAACTAACAATTTTCATATGATAAGGGGACATTTTACTTATTGCATCTTTTTTTTGTTGCCCTTCTGGTTCTTAAGGTTTTAGTTTGACTAATCCGAACCGATCCGGATCGAACACCTGATTTTAGTGGGTGAGTATAGTTTAAACTTACATTTTAATCACTCGATTAAAAAATTATTATAAACATGTCACTAACCATTAAATATTATATGGATTTAATTTGGCTTGAAAATAATTTTAAACTAAACATTTATAGACTTTATTAATTTGGTTATAATCAGAATAAATTTAATTTAACTCTTTATATTTAAAAATTTTATTAGTTTGTAATCACCTTAACTTAATCGAAGAACAAGAATTCTATCAATTTAAGTTTTATTCTTCTATAAAATACTATATATTACTTTCCCGGTATAATAACAGTTTATATATGACCTCGTTTGGTTCGACAATATCGTAAAAAAAGATTAAATTAAAATATTTTTAAATATGAAGATTTAAATTTATGGAATTATAAAGGTAGAATGTATGCAACTAGAATTGCAATTGCAACAATCTTATTTAGATTTCAGACACAATTCAATTTCCCTTGGGATAATGCCTGCTTGATGACCTACATAAATGAACACATCAGTGCTGTTTCATTATCCTCAGAAAATAAACTCCACAGAGAGAAACTATACCTAAAATCACATTCGAAAAGTACAACAGTGAATCGCGGATAATAACCGGCTCTTACGGTTGATACGGTTCACAGCACCACCATTAGGGTTCACCCTTTTTTGGGCATGGCAGCAAGTCTGGTGTACATTCTTGCCATGGACTGGAATCCCCTCGTATCACCGGATCTTAAAAGATTGCCTGTCCAGTAGGAAAAGTGTTCATCGATGATATCGAGCATCAAAGCAGCTTAAACATGCACAGAATTTATATAGCCTATACAGGTACTAATATATCAAACCCCAAGAAAACACTAACTATTTCGGTCATATCTACTGATTGCTCGGAAGGCCGGAGGAAAAATAGGAATGGGACGGGAAAACAAAGAAAACGGGACACCGTTGAGAGGTTCTCAGGTGGGTCAATAAGGTATGCATTTCGCTTTTCGGTTTCTTCAGTTCAGCATAGGCATGCTATTTGGTTAACTTTACATTTTTTTCCCATTGCCCATCAGAAAGAAGAACAATATACATACACATCTCAGGTAGTCAAAGAATACTCCTAAAACAATTTGATATTAAAAGTAATCTTTACAACCCTAGGTAAATTCATATGTTAAAAACAGGAAAGAAACACAAACTTACCTGAATCACAGTTAGCGGGCTATCGGTTCTGGATGAGCCATTAAAGCTATTATAGCCCTACAAACAGACTGAAGTGTCCAAGCAGGACTCCATGCATTCTTCAATATACAGGCAAATCTCTCCCGTCTGTAGAAGCCATATTAACAAATATGGACCAAATTCTTAATTGAACATGGAGTTATACATCTTACATATTAATAATATGTACACTTAATGGAAGGGGGATTCGAATAATATATATGGCAATGAAATGGATGACAAAGCTCGACCTTCTTCCACCAGTAAAACAAGTTCTCGAGCAGATTATTTGTTCATATAGAAGATTGTAACGTTACCGAATTTAATTCTCATTTTCTGACACTATGACCAAATTACTCCTTGAAATCTGGTAGTTAAAACAAGGGTAAAGTACACCAGAGGTCACTGAACAATTGCTCAAAGGATCGTTTGGTCACTGAACTTTCAAAAGTTACAAAATTATCATTATGAATTTCATGACCATTTTGATAAAATTTAATGATGATTTATAACAGCTGGATAAATTTAACAACCATTTTGTAACCGTTTTCAAAATTTGATGACTATTTTGTAATTTTTGAATGTTCAGTGACCAAAACAATCATTTGAGCATATTTCAGTTAACACTGGTACCCATAAAACAAAGTCATAGATGAAAACTAAGGTTTTGCTCCAACTTGGAGAAGACAAAGTTTACTAAATGAAAGCAGAATCTTTTTTAGCCTCGTACGATCTTTAGGAGAGAACCGGTTCTTATTGACAACCTTGAATACTACCATTAAGAAATACATTCATAGTAAACGCACAATTTTGCAAAAACCAATACATATTTTGGTGTATAACCTTAAATACTTCATCAAGTTCTTTTATTTTGTTATGGCTTCCAAGTAAGTACTCAAATTTACCCCCGAAAAATAGAATGGAAAGTCATCGAATATGAATCAGATACTGAGATGCTATTGCTATCTTTAAGCATTAGCACATCTTTCTTTCATTCATTTTTATGCAATCAATATTCAGGTAGATAAAGGAAATCGTACCTTGAAATGCACATTGGGGTGAAATATTTTTGTTAAGAACCGAACTTGAGGGGGTTGCAAAGGGTATTGCTCAGGAACGGCAAAAGCTAGCTGAAACACTCCGCCTTCGTAAGGTGTCTCAGATGGTCCCTATACAAAAGAAGGCTACATAATTCAGACAATATCAAAACAACAATGTATGTACCCAGGATTCAAAGGTGAATATCGAATATAAGTAAGTATCTAGACATGAGTATATTCAATTAAAAAAAACTGTTATATATCTGCGCCTTCGATCGGTGTCTCCGACGGTCCCTATACAAAAGAAGGCTACATAATTCAGAAAAAATCAAAACAACAATGTACCCAGGATTCAAAGGAGAATATTGAATACAAGTATGTCTCTAGACACAAGTATATTCAATTCTAAAAGAAAACTGTTTCATATCCGAATATGTAATGCGAAAAAATCGTCTAGTGAACATAGTCAACAATAATGTTCACAATTTTCCTTTTTCCTCCATTTTTAGTTTAGGAACAACCTTAATAAGAGCAGTCCACTTGAATATGTTGGAATCATCACAAACAAGTTGAATATCGGGATCGGCCGCCTTCTCTCGCTGCACCTCTTTGTATTCCTTAAACAATCTTGCTCTTGATGCCTTCATACAAAGATTTCAACTAAATTAATCAAGGCGAGAATTGTTCTTCGAAGGAGAACCCATACTGAATTCTTAGGTAATCTCCATCTATTCCATAAAATATCAAGATCAAAATCTACAAAACATCGATTAACCTGCATTTCACGTCGCTTTCCAGGAAATCCAAAGATGCTTCAAAAAAATTAATATATTTCTGAATCGATTTGGCAGATTGCTGCAAAATTGAAAATAGAAAAGCAACTATGTTAAGAATTCTCCACTGAAAATGGATAGAAATTTTTACTGTTTGAGATCGAGCCCTAAGGGTTTGCGAGATCAGATCAAGTAGATAATTAAAAAAAACAAAACAAAGATTAAATCGAGCTTATTAGAATCTGACCTGATGAAGTTCCCTGAGAAGAGAGAATGAAATGTGAATCGGTCTGTGGTTTGATTTTGATGATGAGATTTGAGCCCAAAAAAAACGGTCGGTTCAGTGGGTTCTGGTTGTATGGGTTAAAGAATAATATAAAAAAACCGCCGGTTCAGTGAGTTCGGTTGTAGTTAAATTTTTTTTTGTTAAACATAGGTGCTTAATATTTTTTTTGTTACACTTTTATGCGTATACTGTTAAAAAAACTATTAAGTGACGTGTCACGTTTATATTAAACTTACTAATCTTTTTAAATAATTTTTAAATATATAAAAGTAAATTATACTAATCTTTTTAGATTGAATAATTTTTTATATTAAACTTAAATCTAATTCGAACCTGATACTTTAAAAAATCTGACCCTATAAAATCTAATCCGATCAAAATTTATCGAGTTTGAATCAAATATCTATCCGTAATTTGAGCATGGATTGAACCGGTTCTTACTTAAAACCGATTCAACCAAACGGATTCGAGTTCGATCAAAGACCGATCAAAGCATTGGCCATTAAATTAAATGGAATGGTAACTTTCTCTGCTTAACTTTTTTTTTAGAAAAAAATAACCACAACCACAAATTTGGTCCTTAATTTTATAATTTTATCAATTTAACCCAACTTTTTTATTTAATCTACCTTCAATATTTTTCTTTTCTTTTGTCAATTGGAATAAATTCAATTAAGATTTAACGAAATTGTTAAAAATTACACCATACACTAATATGACAACCCATGTGATAATGCATTATTTTTGTCTTATATATGAAATTGAATAAATAATCTAAAAATATATATAGTATTAAAAGATATATTTAAAAATAAAAATCATCATCATTTTTAAATAAAAACTTAAAATGTACCACCTAAATTTATCATTACAATATTACAATATACAATCAAAATTTTTTTTATCAATATGAGGTACAAAACAATATCGGCTTAAAATAACTCTTAATCATTTGACATTAAATGCTCACACCCTTAACATATTTGATACTCGAACCTAATACTTCAAAGAATATCAACAATTCATTTACCACTAAAGTTACTTGGTCCATGCTCAATGTACAATCGAATTGATAACCGGAAGAAAATCCTATAACCGAATAGACGACTTAAACCAAAATAAGTATGCATTTCAACGATACTCGAACTCGGAATCTTAAAATAAAAATCCATATATGCATCATATTCAACACTTTTATTAAAAAATCTATACTAAATAAAAATTTAATAGGATTAACAAACACGTTTTAAATGTTTAATTTCTTTTCTCTACAGGGAGTGTGACAAACATTCAACAAATATATAAATAGGAAAGATATTTAAGGAGAGAAAATGGGAAAAAGAAGAAGAAACGAGTTAGTCATAAAAAAATATGTAAAAAGGGAGAAACTAACCCAGGTTTACATGCTACCAGCTCTTCCAGGAGTGGTTTTGTCGATTTAGTTTTCGCCATGTTAACGAGGTCTCCGAACAGCTTGTCCTCGGGTTTCGACGGCTTACTCGGTGGAGTGTAAGATGAAGTGGGAACCAGGTACGAAGAGTTCCTCAGGCATTGTCGTCTCTGATGGATAGCCCGTACATTTGCTGATCGAGATACGGTTGCTGACCGTACCCATATGCTCCCATTTGGTTGCCGTAAATCTGCTGCTGAGGGTACATTGAACCCATCTGGCCTGCTGGCATTTGCTGAGGGTACATTGCACCCATCTGGCCCGCTGGCATTTGCTGGGGGTACATTGCACCCATCTGGCCCGCTGGCATTTGCTGCGGAAGCATGCCCATATACTGTGGTGTGCCCTGGATCGGCTGTGGCTGATAACCAGCAAACTGGTATCCTGGAGCCACATGATTATTTATCGTCGGTAAATGACTGGTTGTGGTTGGCTGCATGTACATACCCGCCATCTGATCACTTCCCATATGCTGAGCACCTGCAACTGGGCTAGAGTCTGCTACCTGTGCTTCCCAGGGTGGCGGCGGAAGCGAATCACTACCCGGGGCACCTTCTCCGCGTGCAGAAAAGAAAGGTTCATAAGATAATGTAGTGGAAGCAAGAATATAGTTAAACCTACCCAAAGATGCCTAGAATGTCATTATTTAATTTCCTAGAATGGCATGTGGCATGCCATGATTAAATGTGTCCGCCCCTAGGGATTTGTGATGAAAGTAAATGATATACTTGTGCAATAAGAAGCCTATTATAATTAGAAACAAACCATTGACAGATGACGGGGGCTGCTGCTGCTGAACCAGCTGACCATTCCAGGCCGGAACTGTGCCTTGAGCATATGTCTGCTCATATTGAGGTGATGCCATGTTTGGTGCAGTTCCGTTCACATGAAAATTCTGCTGCTGCTGAATTTGAGAGTCAAAGGTTGGTTTGTCCGGCCAAACCTGAAGACCGGGTGTTAAAGGAATTAGAGGTGTTGCTAACATCGGATAACATGTCAAAGAGAACGAGGGCATTTTGCTGCGATGCAGGACTTGCATGTTGTGGTTGTGGTTCTCCCAAAGAAACAAGGGCAAGTGAATTATCTGCCTTTGGTGAATTGAAGTCATCGCCACTAAGCAAGTCCATTTTGGGATTGGCAGCGGGTGGAGTTGAACCATTAGTTGCAGGCGGAGCAGGAAGCAGTAACTGATTAAATGGTGTGCTTGAAGTGGATCTGTGAAAAAATCCTGTTAATTAAACTCGAGCTACTGAAAATATAAGATGCAGCCATGCAGGGTTTAGATAACCCAAAATTAAATGAATTTCAATGTCAATCATGGCAACCTAACATTTGATAAGTAACTCAGTCATTCCCGATAGAGGTAAATACACTACTAATCACTCTAATCTAAAAAGTTCAAAAGATTGTCACTTTAACATAACCAGACACCTGCGATCATGCAATTTATTTCAAAAAGCCCAGCAACTAAATCATACCGAGGATTCCTCAAAACCAATGATTCAAATATATGAAAGAAACTTGTAACCAAGTTCCGAGATGCTGAGAAAAAGACTGGTTACCACCAGTAATCCTTAGGAAAAGAAGTGTAATGCAGCATATGTAAGATACAGAACTTATAATTCTAAGCATATTCCTAAAATTTGCTGTAATAAACAAAATACAGAATACCAATAATTTTAATCCCAGATCCCTGCATAAGCAATCCAGTTCAAAGAAGCCTAATTACCTCCCCTCGGACTGCTTGCCACTGTCTCCAGTATCAATTAGTGGACCGTCAACATTTACAGGTTCTCTTGCAGGTTCAAGCTTAGGATTGTTTGCTTGAGAAGGTGTTCCTGAAGCTATTGCTTCATGCCTTGCTAGTAAGCGCTGCAAATCATCATTCAATGCTAAACCTTGACATAGAAGTGACTCATCCCTACAATAGTTAACCAAAAGGTGATATGTGTCTTAAATATAAAAAGTATTTCAGACAATTTCTTACAAAATTCCATAGAGCATAGAAGCTAACTACTTATGCAACTCATACAGAATACATGGCATAATAACTGAAAATATCACACAAATTTATACAAAGACGCCCAAAAAGAAACTCATTGGCATAGATTAGGGAAAAAGATTTTGATAAATAAATGAATTCCTTTAGACTACTCCAGCTTGTAATCACCATAGCAACAAATAGAATACAATTTAATAAAATAATGAAGTCCTTTGACCTCAACACATGATTTCCCTATCTCATTTTGATAATGTATTTTGACAAATGATACTAACACAGACGCCTTAAGGACCACAAAATAAAAAGAGAGTTCCATGCAGAAAAGTATGTCACATCCATGGAAAAAGAATATAACATCAAGTCACCAACTTATGGTAAGTACAAAGGGCCCCAGGGAAGTTTAAGTAAAAGAAGGTTTCCTTACGATGTTGAATTAATAAGATGTACAACTCTTTGTTTGTAATTACGACACTGCTCCACCAAGTCCACAATCACCTCCTGCCTAAGTCCCTGAAATGGTAGAAGAAAGACCAGTAAAAATGCAAATAGAAAATGAACTTACAGAAATCACAACAGTGTTATATCTTCAGATTTAGCAGCTTGAAACTTCATGTAAACTTTAGATAAGATTTTTCATAAGAGCTGGAAAAACATAAGTTTACACAGATGAGCACAGCCAAACAAATTTTTCATACATATCAAATTGTGAACAAATACCTCCTTGTTTCCTGGATCTATTGCATTTAGCATTTCTGCAAGGACATCCATAATACCTCGTGCATTCTGAATTTCTGTCAAACTGATAAATGAAACTCCTGTTAAAAGACTAAAAGTATAGCAATGTAATTTCACTACCATTAATATGACACATTCATATAGTTTCAACTATTATAACTGCTCTAGTCTGTGGAAAGTCCCGACTGCTCTATTTCTAGGAGACATGGATAATCCTTGGTATGACAACACCACAGTCATGTTTACCAGCTAAGGACAGGGAGCACTGATGTGATGACCAAAATGAAGTTGAAAAAAGTAGGAAGTTTTTCACCCAATACATTAAGGAGTGAATAAAGAGTTCGCTTTGACAATTATTTTAATACAGAGAAAATACTAAATAATTCATATGGGAAAATAAAATGGACTCTTATCCTTATGAAGCAATTATCAAAAGCACATTTCAGTAAGCCCCGTAATTTGTTCATTAGACAAACAATAATTTAGTACGGCAGCAGCCTTCGGCATAACCATATTACTGCAGCACAAATTCTACAAAGTCATTATCCAGAAAGTTTAAAACACGCACACACAGACACCTAGGCCATCATGAAGCTGAATACGAATACTGCAAAATACAAAAACAACCATGCTTTTATACCACTAAGAAACTGAGGAACAACAATGCAAATACCTCAGGGATGGAAACTCTGACTCTGCAGATGACCCAGCTGTGTCTTGCTGATCAGAATTGTGAATGTTTGGAGGATAAGAAGACAAAGGTTGTGTTTGAGGAGGAGTAAGTAAGGGTG